AACATGTTCAACACAACTGGAACATGGTACATGCACCAACCTGAAGATCCAGCGGCGGACACGCGGAAGGGAAGCTCAGGTAATGTGTCAACCGCTAGGAATTGTGAATTAAACAAGTTAAAGGATCCTAATTAAATTGGCGCATTTGGTGCTAAACTCACACATTTTTGGACAGACTGGCTGGTTTTCCGCCGTAAGATCAGTGCGTATCCTTTACAGAACAATGCAGATCCAAAACAGTATTTGTTTTGTCTTCTGTGGGGTTTAAAGGCAGATAGATATTTCGTCAATAGATTGCATTTGCTTTCTAAACGGTTAGCTCCCTGTACGATTGTCGAAACCAGCGCAAGACGTTCTGCTGCCAAATCGCCTTCAGCTGGGATAGAACCCGGCATCTAAACATTACGAAGCGTGTTCGCAACGCTTTAGCCACAGACGCCGACAGTTGAGGACCAGTTGGTGTTAAATGGTTGCCTGGAAAAAAAGAGAACTGTAATGAAGGGCAGTGTTGCCACTTTTTTTTTTGGGACAAAAAAACATCCAAATAGAAGTCAAACAATATCTAAAAACATCTAACTTTGTGCATCTAGAAAAAACATCCAAATGAAAAAAGTCACAAATTACATAGCAATAATATGACTTCTTCTTCTTTTGTTCGCCTGAACTAAGTTGTCTATATCAGCAGTTTTGTCTCTTTTATAAATTTCACTGTGGTTGTTAATTCATTCAGTGGTCCATAGAGTTTACGTCCCACTGTTGTTCTTTCTGGCTAAAAGGTTTGCCTTAATGTGTCAAAATAATATGACTTACCCTATAGAATCATGTCCTCATCTTTACTGAAGTCTGCCTCACAGGATCCACAGGATAAACTTAACTTGGATGATGAAGTTGAAGCTTCAGATCCAAAATGACTCTGGTATGCTTTAGCTGTTCCAGTTTCTTTTAATACCCAATCAGGGAGCTGATAAGTGGAACAGCCTTTTCCTACTCTTATCAGGCCAAATTTTATTGTCAAGATAGCATTTAAGAGGTCAAATTTCATCCTGATTCTTAGGTTAGATTTGATAAATTTACTCTAAATGAAAAACCTCTATAAAAACATCTACCATCTAAACGTCAAAAACGCCATCTAAATGCAAGGAATATATCTAAATCTAGATGTAAAATATCCAAAGTGGCAACACCGATGAAGGGCACAGTTTCCGGAAAATAAGGCAGCTACCGAAGGTGGATGCAAGATACTGAAGATACACTGGCTGTGAAACCATACAAAGCTGGAGAACTGGTAAAGAAAGAGAGACTTTCAGGTGTGCAGTAACGAGGACGACTTTTCTAGATGACTGCTGACTGATAACAGTAAGTAAAGGACCCATTTCCACGCCTCTATGCGTATAGGGCAAAGAAAGCTATACCTATATTTTTATAGACCAAACGGCACAAGATGGGTGATGTGGTCAGCATCACGCAGACCGCCTTTACTTCCCGGGATTACACCCGGTACCCACTCAAGGCTGGATCGACCTGGGAGTCAAGGTCATTTAGGGAAAATATTCGGCTTCGACAGTGAGCGAACCCACGACCTTCCGATCCGCCACGGCGACTTCCCGACTGATAACTGTGATAAACTATATGTTGTCAAGGCCCTTTGGGAGCGAGGAAATAGTTGGTCTCATTCTTCTTCTTGAGCCTAGGGCGGTGCATAGGGCAGAGGTCATAGCTCCCCATACCTGGCGGTTCGTTGCTACCTGATTCAGATCTTGGATGTTTGTTAATCCCATGGATGAACCTTCCATCATGATGGTTCTGAGCAAGGGTCTTGTTTGTCTTCCCCGTTTCTTCCCTCCTTCTAGTGTCCATAGGATGGCTTGATGTGGACGGCTTGTCTTATCCAGTCTGAGTACATGACTGTTGAGGGACGGGTACCGAGACACTATTAGATCATGGTGGTCTGGAAAGAAAAGGTCAGGTGGACAAAAAAATCAGATGCAACGGTACTATCGGAGTAAGAACCCTACGCTGGCTACTGAAGATGAGAATGGAGCGCTTATGAGAATATCATACCTGTTGTGATGTTTGTTTCTGAAACATAACTGAACAGAAGAGGATATTCGGAGTAGAAGGAGGAAACAAAGAAAAAAAGGATATAATGCTAGAGGAAGCGAGGAGGTGGACTGGGGAGAAAGAAACGAAGATAAAGCATGTGGATGTGGTAATCGTGGTGGAAGAATAGGAGAGGGAGGAGGAGGAGGAGGAGGAGGAGAAAAAGAAGAACAAGCAGCAAAAGAAGAAGCAGGAGGAAAGGCACGTTTTAGTGACATAGAATAATAATACTAGGATGATGATAATCATCATCATGATGACGATGATGGTGGTGATGATGTTGATGGAGATAGTGACGAGAAGGTAGGTGGGAGGAGGATAAGGATTTTTGTTTTTTTTAGTAATATAATATCCTACCCCCCCCCCATCCCCCCCCCCCCGATGACGTCACAAAACAGTCCAACATTTTCGAGGGTGGTAAGACTGGGTTTCCCTGCTTTCTGATGATTTTAACGACCCCAAAATATCTAGAACTGGCCCTAACCCCAACCCACCTACGTCCCACGAGAGAGTGCAGCCTAGGTCCCACGAATGCATGCAGCCTAGGTCCGACGACTGCATGAAGTCTATCTACCACCCCCTGAAATATTAGACTGCCCCGTGACCTGTAGATTTCCCCTGTTTGGGGTAAGATATTAAGAAAGCACCGAATGTTTTTTTCAATTATTTTTTTATGGACCAGAACATTACATTTTAACGTGTACTAACCCTTCCACTCTTTACCTCCTATTCTATATGCTAGTTTTCCTGTGTCTAGACTTTAAATATCATATAAACATACGCTGAAATAGCGTATTCATTGAAAGTCTTTACTTCCGCAGAACTTCGTCAACGTTCCAGCAAAACTTCTCAAAACGAATTACCAGGAAATAACTCAGAGTTGGAACAGTCACATGTCTCAAGCGTACACAACACGACACCAGCTCTATTTCCTTCCAAGCTGGCAAAGACGGACGCAACCACCTTCAACTCCACAGTTGCCAGCTTGTGTCCAGAGAAACCACCAAACCTGAGTACGGTTTTCAAATTATTTTGTACTTTTTTTTTTTTTTTCAAACGGAAACCATCGCTGTATTATCCCTAGTCAATCATGCCTCAGAATATTACAAATTCAGATACATGCTGCAGGAGATCGTGTATTTTGAAGAGGCATGATCGCCCACGCCAGTCGGCAAGGCAACTGATGATGATGATGATGATAATTTTGGCTGCAATATCGCCAGGTGACTAACATCCCTGCAACTATATAATTACATACATACATTCACTGTTTTCTGGTCTTACTATTATACATTTACTGTGTTCTCATACTAGTTGTTTTCTTCTTCTTTTTCTTCTTCTGTGGAATCAAAAATATCAATACGTTCAGTAGTTAGCCATTGCCCTGGACGGTCGGCTTTCTTGATACCACTGTCGAAACAAACGCGAGGCGCATGGCCCGCAGCTGAGATCGAACCCGGCCTACTGGCATTACGAAGCGTGCTGAAGGGTATAGTATACTTTATTTCCAGATCTCTATTGAGTATTATGTTCTCAGCTGTGCTGTTGGACGCTTTTCATGGTGGAAATAAAGGAATTGATATCAGCTACTACATCGATGAAAAGCTCTTCTACCTTAGGCTGCTTTAAGCAATGCAAAGTTAAATCATGCGTGAACTATTTTCCCTGACGACTGCGCTCTTAACTCTTTGAGTTCCAGTTGTTTTAGCGTCACAGGCCCAATGGGTAGTAAATAGAGACTAAAATCGACACACTATGCGTTCATTGGGCTTCTAGGTAAGAACATATGAACGTATGATGCATGGACTCAAAGAGTTAATGCTGTGTTCAGAAGCCGATTTGCAGTATACTATATGGACAGGTTCTCCCAGGATTATACCAAGAAAAGATATAAAACCGAACGAAAAGTATATTAGCAAGCTTCACAATATAACAAATACAAACAAAACGTGAACGTTTCTCTATGGAGCCTTCATCAGCGTATACAAATCAAACAATATTACACAGATGGACATTGTGGACGAGTGGGACAGGTACAAGCAGATAGTAGCAGTTCTGGGCGGGTGGGACACACGAGGTGGGTGTGATTAATGAACTGCTGTGAAGCTATAAACTTATCAAGAAAAGATATAAAACCAAACGAAAAGTATGTTAGCAAGCTTCACAATATAACAAAAAGTGAACGTTGCGGCTATGGAGCCTTCATTAGCACATACAATTATACGAGCCGTCACCAGGCGAAGCGTATACTCAGCCTATTATATTGGTAAATGGCAAGAAGTTGAGTGTTGTGGATACATTCGAGCACAGACACTGGGCTCTAATGCTAGAGATGGGGATTGGAATCCTCGGTTAGGTGACTGGCTTGTTTTTGTCAGGAGCAAAAAACAAAAAACAAAAAACGTAACCTACGACTGCACTAGCCATGGAGGCCCAAATTTTCAAGACCCCATCTCCGCCCCCAACCCACAAAACACCTCCCCCACCCCCTTCCCAAAAAGTGGTCCGAAAAGGCCGAAAGCGAAATCCTGTCCTTCAAAGCTCGAGGCAGACAGAATAACCACTTAAGCCTCTTTGACATCACCCCCCCCCCGGGCCGCCCAACACACACACACACACACACACACACACACACACACACACACACACACAAACAACACAACACAACAACATCATATACGAAGTTATGTAGACACGCCTCCGCCCCTTCCTCACCTTCAGCAATTTCTGCTTGCAGTGAATGAACTAGCTGCAATGACCAAGGAGGTGACTCCACAGTATCTCATGGAGACGTTTCCAGAGCTGGAGAAAGGAGGAAGGCTTCGCCCAAGGAGTGCACACCTCGGCAGAGACTGGCATTAGTCATCCCCTATAGGAACCGGTACCCTCATGTGCATATTATGATGCACAACTTGTTGCCGATTCTTAAACGACAGCAGGTTGATGTGACGTTTTTTGTTATAGAACAAGTGAGAAATTATTTTTGTGGTTTGTTATAACACAGGCGGAAGTTATGTGGGGTTTGTTGTAAAACAGGCGCAAGTTATGTGTGGTTTGTTATAACAAAGGCGGAAGTTATATGCGGTTTGTTATAACACTAGCGGAAGTTATATGTGGTTTGTTATAACACAAGCGGAAGTTATGTGTGGTTTGTTATAACACAGGCGGAAGTTATATGTGGTTTGTTGAAACACAGGCGGAAGTTATGTGTGGTTTGTTATAACACAGGCGGAAGTTATGTGTGGTTTGTTATAACAAAGGCGGAAGTTATATGTTGTTTGTTATAACACAGGCGGAAGTTATGTGTAGTTTGCTATAACACAGGCGGAAGTTATGTGTGGTTTGTTAAAACAAAGGCAGAAGTTACATGTTTTTTGTTATAACACAGGCGGAAGTTAAATGTGGTTTGTTATAACCCAGGCGGAAGTTATGTGTGGTTTGTTATAACACAGGTGGAAGTTATGGGTGGTTTGTTATAACACAGGTGGAAGTTATGGGTGGTTTGTTATAACACAGGTGGAAGTTATGGGTGGTTTGTTATAACACAGGCGGAAGTTATGGGTGGTTTGTTATAACACAGGCGGAAGTTATGGGGGGTTTGTTATAACACAGGCGGAAGTTATGGGTGGTTGGTTATAACACAGGCGGAAGTTATCGGTGGTTTATTATAACACAGGCGGAAGTTATGGGTGGTTTGTTATAACACAGGCGGAAGTTATGTGTGGTTTGTTATAACAAAGGCAGAAGTTAAATGTTGTTTGTTATAACACAGGCGAAAGTGATATGTTGTTTGTTATAACACAGGCGGAAGTTATGGGTGGTTTGTTATAACACAGGCGGAAGTTATGTTTGGTTTGTTGTAACAAAGGCAGAAGTTAAATGTTGTTTGTTATAACACAGGCGGAAGTTATATGTGGTTTGTTGTAACACAGTCGGAAGTTATGTTTGGTTTGTTATAACACAGGCGGAAGTTATGTGTGAGATGGTCAGTAGGTCGTCAAGTCAGAAGCTAGCTAGTTTGTCTCTTCTTCTTCTTTCTTCTGCCTTTCTATCCCCCAATGGAGCATAGGCCCTCAACCAACTCACGCCAAGTCGTTCTATCCTTCGCCATTACATGGAGCTCTCCCCATGTCCTCCCGATCTTTCTAACCTCATTCTCCAGCTCTCTTCTCCATGTGTTTTTTGGCCTTCCTTTATTCCTATGCACCTGTGGGTTCCAATGCAAAGACATTCTAGTTATGCTGTTCTCCTGTTTTCTCAGTGTGTGCCCTATCCAACGCCAGCGTCTTTTCCTCACCTCCTGATCCACTGGAGCCTGTTTAGTTCTCTCCCAAAGTTCTACATTAGCTATTCTAGCATACCATTTTATTCCCTCTATTCTGCGCAGGCACCAGTTAATGAATGTCTGTAATTTATTAGTAATTGCCTTAGTTGTTCTCCATGTTTCCGCCCCATACAATAGTACTGATTTGACATTAGAATTAAAAAATTTTAGTTTAGTATTTCTTTTGACCTCCACAAATTCCCTAGTGCTATGAAAGCCCCTCTTGCCTTTTGTATTCTTATTTTAATATCTCTTTCAGTTCCTGCTAAAGCTAGAGCTCAGGAGAATTACACAGAAGCCAACAAGGAAGTTAGGAGGCATATAAGGGCAGATAAAGTGAAATATCTAAATGATCTAGCACAAGAAGCGGAGACAGCAGCAGCAAACGGAAACCTCAGAGAACTTTACAGTAACACAAGAAAATTAGTAGGTAAATAAAGTCAGCCAACTGGATCAATCAAAAATAGTCAAGGAAAGGTACTTACTAACACTAAAGATCAAATGGACAGATGGGTTGAATATTTTTAAATGCTTCTAAATAGACCAGGCCCAGAGGTTCCCTCAGATATACAGCCTTTAGAAATGGAACTGGATATCAACTGTGAGATACCATCCAAAGATGAAATTAGAAAAGCTATAAATCTTCTTAAGGAAGGAAAGGCGTCAGGCCCAGATGGTATCCCAGCTGAAGCCATCAGGACCAACATAAACACATCAACAGAATTGCTACATAGATTATTCAGTAAAGTCTGGGAGACCGAAGAAATACCAGCAGACTGGAGAGAAGGATATCTTGTGAAACTGCCCAAAAAAAGGCGATCTACAGGAGTGTGAAAACTATAGAGGAATTATGTTGCTGTCAGTTCCTGTAAAAATATTAAGTAGAATTATTTTGGAAAGATTAAAAGATGCTATTGATAAAATGCTAAGAGATGAGCAGGCAGGTTTTCGGTCAAACAGATCCTGTACTGATCAGATAGCCACATTACGTATTATAATAGAGCAAAGCATTGAACTGAACACACCACTTTACATTGGATTTATAGACTACGAGAAAGCATTTGACAACATTGATAGGGAATCTCTCTGGAAATTGATGGGGCACTATGGAATCCCACAGAAAATTATCAACTTAGTAAAGGCAACATATAAAGACATGAAATGTCGAGTTCTTCATGAGGGAAAGCTAACAGATGCATTTGAAATAAAAACAGGTGTGAGACAGGGATGTCTTTTGTCGCCTCTCCTATTTTTACTGACTATAGACTGGACTATGAAAACAGTAACTGCTAACACCAAGAATGGAATTCAGTGGACCCCTACAAAACAGCTTGATGATCTGGACTTCGCTGATGATATCGCCCTTCTGTCCCATTCACGGAATCAGATACAAGATAAATTAAATATACTTAATGCGAGATCACAGCAGCTTGGTCTGAAAATCCATAAAGGAAAGACAAAGATAATGAGAATAAATCAGGCAAATAGTAATGTGGTTTCTCTTAATGGCACCCCACTCCAAGACGTGGAGTCGTACACCTATTTAGGCAGTAATGTAGATAAAGATGGAGGAACTGAAAGAGCTAGTTTGTAGCGATGTGTAAATGAGGAGACCATCGTAAAATTTACCCATTATCATATAGTCCAACACAATCGTAACCTAACACAATCTTGTACTGTCTAACACACTGCTATGCTTCTGACACAATCTTGTACTATCTAAAAACAATCGTATTGTCTATCACAGTCTTATACTCCCTAACACAGTCTTGTATTCTCCAACAGTCTTTTACTATGTAACATAATCTAGTACTGTTTAACATAATCTTGTACTGTCAAACATAATCTAGTACTGTCAAACATAATGTTGTACTATCTTACATAATATTGTACTGTCAAACATACTCTTGTACTATCTGACATTTTCTTGCCCTAACAATCTCTTGCTTTCTTGTACTGTCTACTTAATATAATCGTTTACTAGTTCTAACTACGTTTTCTTGCCCAAATACAGACTGGTTGCCTTTCAATCATGATTGCTCACCTGTTACACGGGATAGTCTATGTTACAGCCGTATCACGTTGTATTGTTTCCAGTGCTATCACCAGAGTGTTCTATTTTACACGTACGACCCCCACAACATATAGAACTGGCCATAACTCCAAACCCCCTATCCTACAGACTCAGCTTACATTCCACGAGAAAGTGCAGCGTACGACCCGTGGTTTCTCACAGGCCGCTGCTCACAACAACGAGTAACACACAACACAGAAAGCTTTGCGATGACAATCCAACGCGACACCCCTGTAACATAGACTAGCCCATGTGACAGGTGAACAAACCACTTGATCTGCTGTTTCTCGATGAATCTAGTACAAGGTTTCGTTCTCACAATTTGTCCGATAGTGTCATTATTCACTCGATCTCGGATGGTTAGGTTGACTGCTTTTGTCAAGAGAATGAAACTCCATTGTTAGCTTGTCCATTTGCTTGTCCATATATATATATATATATATATATATATAAACACCAAGCAACACGGGCTGTGCGACGAACAGGAGTAAGCACTTTTCTGACTACAGGACGTCGAGCAGTCAGTCCAGATTCATCATGCAAACGTCCACGAAGGGAGCTTTGACTGATATTAACGTTCACATATGGTCTCAGCGGACATCGTAGAGTGGAACAAGTCACTGTTCGATGGCGCAGGACTTAAACAATCTAGGGCGACCTCGCGGGGGGAGGGGGGGGGGGCACTCCACACTTTCTATGACGTAAAATTTCTTCGAAATTCATTGGATAGTTGTGTGATACTGCAAGCTGTCTAGTACCTTCAGGGTTATCGAGGTCTGAGGTTTGAACAACGGATCAACATCACGGCACACGGGTAGCAACCCATAAGTGCTTCGTTCTTCTTCTAACTCAAGTCTAGGTCAGAAGAAGCTCAGCACAGTGCACAGGCTCTGTAGCAAAAGCGAGAATCCTGAAATACTGGCAGATTATTAACTCCAAATTTTGCCTGGGCAGCGCCGCTAGGCGCTCTTTCGATTTCCAACTGCCAATGGATTTTTTAAGCGCGCAACAATGCACACGGGCGTACGATTTCCCTACCCAGAGACCGGTGTAATTGCTAGAAGTCCCTGTCCACGGGGAAAAATCCAGCCCTATAGCATTGAGTCGGACACCATGCCTTGAGACCACGCAGCCCCCGTCGGGGATAGATAAACCACTTGAAACCACGCCACAGCCCTTATTCTTTGTAAGGTGTCACGACTACTTCTCGTTGGTATGGGTTTCTTTCAAGCAATGAAACAACCCTCTCTGCTGATTGATAAACCAACGAAGCGTGAACTATGTTTCACGAACAGTCGCAATTGCATGAGAAATGTCAGACAGGGAGATTACTTTACCTGTTATGCTGTACGGAAGTTTTTAAAAAAAATGAATCAAAAAGGTAAATATTTGCTCAGCAAACGAAATTGCACGTGATCACCATGGTTGTCGGTGAGAATTTTTAGGCTTTGTGGGTAAAAAAAAAAGGACTGTCATGGGAAGATACTTAACCCAGTTTTACTGAAAACTGTCCTCATTTAAACATTCTGTCCTCGTATATGAAAGTGTACAGAAAATAGCAGGGTTGCCTTGACGCCCCTAGTGTGGGAGATGGTGTTTCTCCAAATCTGCGATCTGCGTGTATGAGTTTATGTATTGACACCACTCTATGGGGCACACACATACACACACACACACACACACAGGATCGCAAGCACGCACGCAAAGATAATGAGAATAAATCAGGCAAATAGTAATGTGGTTTCTCTTAATGGCACCCCACTCCAAGACGTGGAGTCGTACACCTATTTAGGCAGTAATGTAGATAAAGATGGAGGAACTGAAAGAGCTAGTTTGTAGCGATGTGTAAATGAGGAGACCATCGTAAAATTTATCCATTATCATATAGTCCAACACAATCGTAACCTAACACAATCTTGTACTGTCTAACACACTGCTATGCTTCTGACACAATCTTGTACTATCTAAAAACAATCGTATTGTCTATCACAGTCTTATACTCCCTAACACAGTCTTGTATTCTCCAACAGTCTTGTACTATGTAACATAATCTAGTACTGTTTAACATAATATTGTACTGTCAAACATAATGTTGTACTATCTTACATAATATTGTACTGTCAAACATACTCTTGTACTATCTGACATTTTCTTGCCCTAACAATCTCTTGCTTTCTTGTACTGTCTACTTAATATAATCGTTTACTAGTTCTAACTACGTTTTCTTGCCTTTCAATCATGATTGCTCACCTGTTACACGGGATAGTCTATGTTACAGCCGTATCACGTTGTATTGTTTCCAGTGCTATCACCAGAGTGTTCTATTTTACACGTACGACCCCCACAACATATAGAACTGGCCATAACTCCAAACCCCCTATCCTACAGACTCAGCTTACATTCCACGAGAAAGTGCAGCGTACGACCCGTGGTTTCTCACAGGCCGCTGCTCACAACAACGAGTAACACACAACACAGAAAGCTTTGCGATGACAATCCAACGCGACACCCCTGTAACATAGACTAGCCCATGTGACAGGTGAACAAGCATGAATGAAAGGTCAACCAGTGTGTATTTGGGCCGGAAAACGAAAAAAGAACCCTTTTACTAAAACAATTTTGTGCTGTCTAACACACTACCATGACTCCAATAGCCCCACCCGGAAATAGTGTTTAACAGGGGCGCCTTACTAAATATAGGCTTTCTGGAAGCGGAAAAGTTGGCCAGTTTTGACTGTTACATCTTCCACGACGCCGATATGATACCGATCCACGACCAGAACCTTTACAGGTGTGAGGATAACCCGCGACACTTCGCCGTGGCAATGAACAAGTTTGATTACAAGTAACATATTTTCTTTTTTGTTTCATCCCGTTATTATCATCATCATCATTATAATCTCAACTTGCTTCTTATGTTTTGTGGCGTCTAAGTGATGTAATCATTGTGGGTTAATTAAGTAACAGAAAATGTATTGATCGGTACTCATAGAAAGAAGTAGAAGGATACAAGAACACACTAGACAACATAAAAATCGAAAGCTATAGGAACCGTGCCGGGAATTGAACCTATCACCTCCAGACGGCGTGTGCGCGTCGCCATGGATACAAGTGCACTAAGAACATGGTAAACTAGGCACCGTCTCCCCCCCCCCCCAACGTGTCTTATTGGCCATGTCTATCGTACAGCTTGAAATTCACAACTATGGAATACGGACTGAATTCATTTCAAACCATTGAAATGGCACCAAAGGTTAAAGAAATTCTTATTAACGAAGCATATGTCGAATAACAATCACAGCAACAATTTACGAACACAGTAAACCTTAATGCTTTGTCTAGAATACATAAACATTTAAGAAAGGCATTTGATTGGTAGGTTACATTGGGAACATGTCTGTTTGTGTGTTTGGTATTGGGAAAGGTGGAGTAGGGAGGTCTCAATACTATGTTTTTTTTCTCTCTGCACATCGTTTGCCTGGTTTGCCTCTTCTGATTTTTGTTTACGAGGTCAACAGGCGCACGAACCTTGAGGGGTAAGCAACAAAATGTCGTCCGACATTGAGACGTAAAAGTGTTGCTGTGGCGTTTGCGGCTAGATGCCCGCCTGAGGATCGGCAGGTTGTGGGCTTAGGTCCTGACGGAGCCAGACTGTTTTCGAAAATGACCTTGACTCCCAGGTCGACCAGCCTTGAGGTGGGTAACAGGGGTGGAAAAGGGGCCTGATTGAGATTTTAATGAATGTGATCAGGGTTTTTGCAGGCAGTTTTGACTAGGTTAGCTTTCCTGGTTTTGGGTTTTTAATTTTATTTTCAGGTTTTTCAGTTTGTGGGGTTTAAAAACGGAAACCCAAAATCATGAAAAACCCCGGGGAAAAAAACCCAAAGAGTGCCCCATTTTTCCCTTTTAACTCAAGCCGGGCCAAAGAAGCCAGCACATACACAATTTTTATAGTACAGGCCCCTGATCCTGGAAAAAGTTTGGGGGAATCCCTTAAAAAATTTTCCCAAATTTTCACGACAGCGCCGTTAGGGAAAACTTTTTTTTTTTATCCACCGCCAAGGAAATTTTCGTGAGCAAAAATGCCCCACGACGTCTGATCTCATACCCCAAAACCAGGGGGGTTACTAGAATTTCCCAAGGGTTTGTGACAAAACAAGCCTTTAAACCGGGGGTTGACCCCGGGAAACCCCCAGCGCCCGAGG